TCCATAACTATTTTGGTATGTACTTGACCCGATGGTGCATGGTCCTTTTGGGTTGCCTTCACCAAAGCAACTTGATAGGATGATTTATGGAGAGTAAGGATTGAATATGATTTATTAATGTATTATGAGAATAATATATTAAAGGAGAAATCATATTGTTTAATTAATATTAGTCAATAATTAATTGGTAATTAGTTTTGTGACTAAAAGAGATTAATTAAACTTAAGGGACTGGAATTGTAATTATAGGATAATTGCAATTTGGGCCATGGATTGCCTTGTATCAAGGGTTGGACGAATTCTATGGGGAAGCCCATAAGGAAATCGTCCAAGGGCTTGATTAAAAGGAGTCTATGGGTTGCTTAGGGCTTAAGCATCCAAATTAGGGTTTCCTTGTTAGATAACCCTAATAGCCTAACTATATAAAGACCCCTTAAGGCTCAAAAACGTGGCTAAGCTTCTTGTAAGGGTTTACACACGTTTTTGGCAGCCTCCAACCTCTCTCCTCTTCATCCTCTTACTTATGGTGTTTGTGAGCCATTAGAGGAGTGACACTTGTGACTCTAAGCCTTCCAAAGTCATTTCAAGGAGGAATTGGGATTGTTATTGCTACATAACAATCAAGGTATGATCTTAAACCTAATTACATATTAATATGATTACTTGTATGCTAGAATTAGGGTTTATAGTCTTGGATTCAAAGCATGTACAATAGAGAAACCTAGATCCAAGCATTAGGGTTTGTATGAGCACATAGGATGTCTTATGACCAAAATCCCATCAAAATTGACACAAGATTAACCCTACAAAACTTTTAGTTGTTGCATGCCTTATGTATCGTTGATAATGAGGTTAGTCACCACTAAATACGTAGCCTATAATGCCTAGTTTGTTTAGACCCCTTTACCTCCTCTTTTCCGGATTACAAATTGTTCTTTCTCTCTAGATTTAGCTATTGGCCATCATTCGGCCCAACTATACCATTTCCCTTCTCTCTTGCTTTCGGTGACCACCATTACCATCACCTACACAACCAACACTATCACTACAATCGGCATCGCATTCTTTTCAACACTACCACCATTGGTGTTGCATTTCTCTCAACACCACGACAAAGACCTATGTTCTTCTCTTCTTCGGAGACCAACACCAACAACATTCTTCCTCTCTATCGGCACTCATTACCATCATCATCTTTGTCGCCGGCCAAGAGGTAAGTTTCTTCCTCTGATCTTTTGCTAATTGCTTTAAAAGTTGTCTAGTATGCTTAAATGTGTGAAACACCATTTGTAGTCTTTTGTCTATATCCTTGAGAAATCCATGTGTGTTGTTGGTTTTTCCCTAATTGAAAAATCCATGTGTAGTGTGCTTAATGTTTGTAAACTTCATGTGTATTTTTATGACAAAATGCTTGAAAAATCCATGTGTGATGTGGTAATTTTGTAAAATTCATATAAAATCGCTATCTATTCGATTTTTAGTGATAATAGTGCGATTGGAAAGATGTGAATATCTGTTTTTTTTTTTTCATATTTATACCTCATAGACCAATTCATGCTCCAAGATAAGTTAAGACTGACATCTCTATAGTGCTACCAAAATCCATGTGTATCTCATAAGCAAACACATTCTTTAAGATAGCCAAAAATGTCGTTGATAATAATAATAATTATTCACCTAGTTGTAGAGTTGTAATCGACTTCAATAAGTACTTTCAAAATAATCCAGTTATAATTACCAAGGAGTGAGATTGAAACTAAAGTTACTCCTCCAACGGGTATCGTTAATGAAGTTTTTGAGGGCGAGACTAATTATGATGAAACTAAAACATGTAGACCTTGCACAAAGGAATGCAATGTCAATGGTCGAACATCTCAAGGTAAATTCTTTGTATAAGTAAGTTTTATATGTTTATTTTTTATTCCTTTTTTACTTTACTATTTTTCTTTATTTGTAGGAAACTTTCGATCTTAATGAAGTTTCTTGAGATCGCCAACATGTTCTTTTATGGGAAGGTCTGACCACGATGATGACTAAGTATTTTAGATATAGAAAAAGCAAAGCAAAAAAACATTTTAAAAACGTGGGAGGGTGAAATTCTCTCATGGATGGAGCTTCAAGTTTCCAGATCCTCACCGAACTCCACCACAATTAATTTGGGTTAGATTTCATAAAGTTTAGGAGTTTTAAATGCAATAACATCAATATAATCAACTAACAATCTCAAATGAATTTCAATTTTTGGATTTGAACTATAATCCAAATCCTATATCACCATTTATGGAAGAAAGGGTGGAGTTTTATCTTCCAAACTTGATGTTGACTCTTAGCTTCCAAATCCTACCTTGATTCTCTCGAAAATCGACTTTAACTCTTCAATCAAGATTCAAATCACCATTCACGAGCTTTCCCTCCTTCTAATGCCACTATCTTTTATTAGGTAGAACACATCCTTATATACTTTACTACTATGATTATGTAGTTTAACTCTTTGGTACAATTTCTCCCAACCGCTATCTAGTCATAAAAATTATTTCATGTCGCCGCTATTGTTTGGAGTCGCCGCTAAAGGTGTTGCCGCTATTGCTGACACGGTGGCGATCCGTGTGAAACAATCCCTGTCCGTTCGATCTGTATTTAATCTGACGGTCGTGAATTCCAAAAAAATGTGCTTCCTTTTCCCTCCAAGTGTGTCGCTACTAGAACCCCTTTGTCGCCGCTAAAACCCTCCTGTCGCCGCTATTGAGTTGCATCAGATAACCCCCCAGTCGACCCTTCTTTCCTTCTATCGTTGTATCTCTCAAAACTCCGACTACCTTCACCATCTGCACCGCATTACGATTCCGATTACCGGGAGTCACTTTACTGGTGACGGGCCTTATTTACCGCCGACCCACCCTCATTACCGGCGGCCATTGAATTTATTGAGGGAAATTCCGACCACAACAACACTTCAGTGAAATTGAGAAATCTAAGGTCGAATTTCTTTCCATAATTTCTATGCTTCTTGTGTTTTGATGTTAGTTTTATCATTCAAAACTGATTGTATCATTGATTTCTATGTTTTCTAAGATTTTTTTGGTTAGTGATTTTGAGTGTCGACCAAGCTTCTTGTTTGGCTGTAAATTGATGATTTTTGAGTGATTATGTGTGTTTTATCATATCTTATGCAACCTATTGTATAATTGATTTGTGTTTATGTTCATTGTGGTGTGTTGGCATGAAAATGGAATTAGACATGGTTTGTGTGATTTTGTATTTAGGTGTATATTTTTCTATGATAAGATGAAGTGATAAAGTTCTTGATTGATAAGTTATAGTTTTTTTAGTAATTTTAATTTGTGCATGGAAATATCTTTAGATGAATTTGTATGATTTTGTATTTAGAACTATATTTTGGTTAATTATATTTGCAGCATGAAGAAAATGATACACAAAGGTATTATGATTAATTTCTTACCAGTTTTTTTGAGTTATTACACTTTTAAGTTCTATAAATGATATTTTTATAAAGGTTATATTTGTATAATGAATTTATGCATGGAAAAAATTGAACAAAAAGGTAGGATGCAATAATGGAAAAAAAATATATGATGCTATATTGTTTATGTATTTGTATGCAATTTAGAAACTACAACGCTATAATAGAAAGTGTATTATTTTTGTGTATGTAATATGTGTAAATTCTATTCATATTGTAATTTTGCAGGCTATATACGGGGTTTAGTTGGGCTAAAACTCTGAAAGGACCAATATATTTGAGGCCCAGCTTGCCCCGCTTCCTAAATCGGCTGACACCTTTCCAATGTGACACCTTCAGGAGCACCATGTCCCTAACTTGGAATTCTAAGTCCGATCGGCGTCTATTGGTATAGCTCTTCTATTGGCTCTGTGTTGTTTGAAGTTTGTTGCAGACCCGATGAATCAGTTCCGTCATCTTGACTACCACTTCCGTACTCCCCATCACCCACTGGCCAACCTCAACCTAACATATCGGGGTCCTACAGTTCCTCCCACAAAGCATATCGAAAGTAGGTTGATCAATAATGGCATGATAATTGTTGTTATATGAAAACTCTGCCAAAGGAAGATATGTATCCCAAATCCTGCCAAAATCCAATACACATGCCTGAACCATGTCCTCTAAAGTCTGAATAGTCCACTCACTCTGACCATCAGTCTATGAGTGAAAAACCTTGCTGAAATGCAGGCGAGTATCCAACTCCTCATGAAATCTCTTCCAGAACCTAGAAGTAAACCTAACATCCCTATCTGAAACATTTAAAACCGACACCCCATGTCATGCCACAACCTCCCGAATGTAGATGTCTGCCAGCTTCTCCATAGAGATACTCTCTTAAATCGAGATAAAATGCATGCTCTTGGTCAATCGATCTACGATAACCTAAATTGAATCCACTATGCGTGTTATATGTGGTAACTTTGTGATGCAGTCTATCGTGATGTCTTCCCATTTCCAAACGGGAATACCTAACGCTTCTATTTTTCCTGAAAATTAAGGCACCCCTAAAATTTTCACCCTGGGTTATCAGGTGTTCATGAGACTAATATACTACAAACATCACGACATCCACATTTGATTACCTTCTTGTTCCTCCATCTTGTACCATCATTGAAGTTTGATCTTGTAAAGAAAGTTGTCATTTACAGTTGGAGAAAAAAGAAGTTGTACGACAAACTTTGGGGATGAAGGGTTTTATTGGAGATTGAGATGCGACTTAGCATCTAGGTAGGATTAATGAACCACATAACACCGACATTGTTAATGGTATTAATGAAAAAGTTAGAGCAAATTTGAGGCATTAACAGATCAAAAATACGACTTTTGGTAAATCTGACAAAAACTTGCAAACTAAAGGGTTTAATGGCATTTGCCCAATTTAAAACTTAAAACTGAAAAAACTAAAAGATTTAGAGGACTAAAATTGAATACTAGCTAATACTCCATGGGTCCAACTTGTAATTCCCCAAAATAGGGTTGCTAATGCTTGAGCGATGGCTGGTCTAATCAAGCACAACTTCTAGAATGTCAACAGCCTTCACCTTCTGGAAAAAAATGGTCTTCGTCAATGGCGTACAAGCCATATTGCTCCGTTATCTCTTCATCCCTCCAACAACAAATGCATCTGACCCTCTTGTCATCAAGAATCAATTAGTAATTTGAAGATTTTGCATGTCAGTTTGTTGTGTCGGGTGTTTTGTAGGCTTAGGTTGCCTCCGGTGGGGTTGGAAGCGATGCACACATACAGGTGCCGACGACAGTGCTTCCTGGCCACCAGCCACCGCCGATGAGTTCGAGCCTGTTCCCCATCTCTGCCGCCTCACCCTCGCCGTCTACGAGGAAGACCTCCACAACCCTCAATTCCCTCCCCTTGGCGGATACCGATTAAACCCAGATTTCGTAGTGAAACGTGTTACCTACGAACAAACCCTCGGCCACGCGCCACCATATCTCATCTACCTAGACCACAGCCGCCGGGAAATCGTAATGGCCATCAGAGGGCTGAATTTGAAAAAGGAAAGTGATTACGAAATGTTATGGGACAATCGATTAGGGAAGCACATGTTCGATGGTGGGTATGTACACCATGGGTTGTTGAAATCAGCCGTTTGGTTGCTGAATCAAGAGTCGGAGGAGTTACAGCGGTTGTGGGTGGAGAATGGGTCTTGTTACAAGATGGTGTTCGTGGGTCACTCTTTGGGAGCTGGTGTAGCGACATTGTTGACAGTGTTGGTGGTGAATCATAGGGATATGCTTGGTGGGATACCTAGAGAATTAGTAAAGTGTTACGCGATTGCACCTACGAGGTGTTTATCGCTTAATCTTGCTCTTAAGTATGCTGATGTGATTTACTCCATCGTGTTGCAGGTATGTTTTTCATTTTGTTCATATTAAAAGTTTTCCAATTCTGAAATGGAATCGAACATTCACCAAATTGGGATTGGAATTCAATTCCATTCCATTCCTGATCTACAGTTGCAAATGCAATCAATTTAACGTTTTTTTTTTTTTTTTTGCGATTATCATATACAGGATGATTTCTTACCACGTACATCCACCCCACTTGAAGATATATTCGAATCAATTTTTTGGTTAGTTGTCTAATTTCCCATTAAAAATTCAATTTTTTTTTTTTATATTATCCATTAGTCCATTACTTGCTCCATCTTGTGGGGAAAAAGTAAAAGATTATGATTTCTCTCTTAAACCAGGCCTTCATGCTTTCGACAGTTTGCCTTGTTTGCTATTGATGGTTTGCATGAAGGACACATTTGTAAGCGAAGAAAAGAAGCTTTCTGATCCTAGAAGACTGTATGCACCAGGTAGAATGTACCACATTGTTGAGAGAAAGTTTTGCAGGTAAATTGCTAAATATAAGCTTCTATTATAGAACTCAACTTCCGTTTCTTTTTATTACAACGTTTTTTACTTTCACATATTAAATAACGAAAAACGATCCAACTATAGAATTGCACCTTTTTTTATGAAGTTTTAATTTTTTAAAATCAACCCAACTGTAAACAGATGCGGAAGATACCCTCCTGAAGTCCGAACAGCAATTCCTGTTGACGGTAGATTCGAACATATTATTCTTTCATGCAATGCTACATCTGATCATGCAATCATCTGGATTGAAAGAGAAGCACAAAAGGCTTTAGAGGTAACTATGCTTCTTTATTTTGGCTTAAGATCATGAAATAATAACAAACTTCAAATTTATTAATTATATATAAAAAAATCAATCTTCTACGTGCCTTTCAATGTCATTTTACATATTTCAGCTAGCTTATCAGCTGGTTTTACCAACCGTCATTTTTTATCAGCTTGCAGCTAGCTTTTCAGCTTGTCTGCTAAACATAACTTTAAAAAAGTGTTGGATTAGTTACATGTGACCCGAATGTTGTTGGATTGTTGTAGTTATTAAAGGAAAAGAGTTGTGAAAATGTTACAACACCACCAAAGGTGCAAAAATTCGATAGGTTACAATCAATTGAAAAAGAACACAAAGATGCGTTACAAAGAGCAGTTAGCCTTAAAATACCTCATGCGGTTATGATCATGACTACAGATGATGAGGAGAAAGAGCCCTTAACGAAAACATCTCAAGAACTTCCTGATGATTTGTGTGAAGAGGACATAAAAAATAGAGTCAATTGGAATGATTTAGTTGAAAAACTGTTGAGGCCACCGATAAGTGGAAAGTAAATTATGTGTGTAAAATATAAGATTCATTTTGTATATTTTTGTTGGGTGATTTTTGTACAAATGTGTTATTCTTTGATTTAAATACGCGTTATTTATTATTTTTCAGATTTTGGAATAGGATAAATAAAAATTGTATATAATTATATTAGTTTTTTGTTTTGTTATGGGGAAATTCTTTTACTTTTAATTGTATGTGGTGATTGGATGACCATATATCACTCGGTTTACTTTTGCAAGTAATTACCAAAAGCTTTTTAGTAACACCTTTTCTTTTTTAAGTCGTTTGTTTAATTCCTGTTTTGGATATAGGTGGTATTAGAAGTAGTTTAGTTTAGTAGTAAATAGATTTGGAAAGAAAATACAATTAATCAAAAGGAGGTGATATTTACGTCTTTGATTCGTTGACTTAAAAAGGATATGTGATTTTACTTTAATATCGTCCATTTTAATTGAAAAAAAAAAGAATTATAATCATTGTATAAAAATCAAAAAAACATTGTTTTTAAGTGAATTGATAAAAATAAAAGTGGAGATATCAATCCAATGATATTTTTACACCAAAATGATTACTTGATCAAATCAAAAGTTGGGATCGTGTTCACAAATTTCAATTTTATTCCAGTTTTCACATAAAAAATGGATGAAAATTAAGTATAGCATTGTAAGGCATGACTTGATTGCATAATCAAGCCTCAAGTTTTGCAAAAAATGCCGAGGCCTTAATATTTTTCAAGCTATGATAAAACGACAAAATTTTAATATATTTTATAATATTATATATATGTCTATATATTTTTAATATCATCAAATTATATAAAGAAATTGTATATTAACAAAAATTTAATGTTTTCAAATGTGAATAGAGAAAAATTCAATAAAGAATCATAATTATTAGTTCTTCAAGGAATCAAATTTTTTCAAGTTTTAGATCTTATTGTTTATCGAAAAAAACTAAAATTTTCTAAATTAATAACTTCACATTGTGAATGTTAAAAAATAAATTATATAGTTTGGAGTTCACTTTGTGAATCAGTACAAATTTACACAGTAAATTTGAAGATTTTATTTTATTTTATTTTATTTTTAAATTTGATATCATTAGAAAAAAGATAAAAAAAAAAATTATGAATTTTTATATTTTTAGTTTTTTTTATTATTATTAAAAACAAGCTTTAAATGTTGAAAAAAAGATTAATTCATTGGTTAATTATGATTATCTATTGAACCTCACCCAATATCATTATACATTTAATCTAACATATAGTCACCAATTTACAATCATACTAAAAGTTCAAAAAATGTCATTTTTCAAAAAGCCTGTGAACATTACGAAAACATGTTATATCTTTAGATCAAATCCAAAGAGGAACAAAAGCCCCCATGTGGCCACGAAGGTTCACCCGCAGTGACTCCGAACTACTTGGAAAACATTTTGGAAGCTCGGCTCCATATATAGGAGGGTTAAAAAATAAAATTATTTACACAAAAAACGTCTTGTCGCACTTTACCACGTTATTTGTGCATCAAGCTTTAAAGAAGTGCCTAAATCGTTTTGGAAACGTCTACACTATGCCTCAAGGCGATGGTTGCCTTGCGCTACCATGACATGTTATTTTGAATCTTGGTTAACAGTGATTAATTTTCAACTATATTGTATATTTTATACAAAAAAAAGATTATTTTAAATATATTTTATTGTTCTATATTTTTAGATTTTCATTTAATTTTTCTACAAATTTGTCAAAGACCTTCTTGTTGCAGTTTTTAATTATAAATTTTTAGTATTAAGTAAGTATAACCAAATAAATAATTTGTATATAAGTAATTCAAGTTAATTGTGATATTATTAAAACAAACAATTTATAAAATAAAACATTTAGTATAAATGAATAATATTACACCAAATTTATCATATTGTCATAGATTACTAAAAAGTACATTTTTAATATGAATAGTTTTACTTAAATTTGAAAAAAATAGTAATTAATTAAATATACCAATAGTTAGTGTTGTAAAAATTTTGATTAGATCCCGATTAATCATCGATTAGTTGCTAGGTGTCATTCAGCTGGCGAGAGGCGCTAAGAGATTAAACCCTTCCTAAATAGTGAGTGAAGTTGTAGAAACCAATGAATTTTTAACATTTTGAACAAGTTATTTCTCAATAGAAATTATTTGATAAATAAATAGTGTTGTATTAATTATATTAACCTAATTTGTTATAATATTAGTAGTATTTACTAACTTTATTATCATAATAGTCAAATTTGAGTTTTTAAAATTTAGCAAATTTACAATTATGAGTTATTTTTTTTTATTAATTTCCGATTAATCCCTGCCAACCCAGATCAATCATGTATCCTTAGTTGACCAACTAGTTACTATCGATTGTTTTCTAAAATTAACATTAAATTGAAAATTATATTAATTTTTATACACGTAACCCATGGTAAAAAATGATAAATATTATATGGTTTGAAGAAATGTTTATTGATCTTATCATATAGTTCAAGATAATTAAATAGCTTCATTTATATTCATTTAGTATAAAATTTATTGCTTTAAAGTTAAAAACCTAGTCAAAATTAATTTTCTTAACATATATTTTTAAATATTATTAATTTTATAACTATATTGTGTGCAACTATATTTTGCGCGTGCATTTTACTTAATATACAGATAATCTCCTATAATAAATGAAGGTTTTTTTTGCCACGTGTCCTCTTCTCATTCATTTGGACACATGGCATTTTCTAAAATTTTTAAATTTTCTATTTTCCACTTGTCATTTTATTGTATTTTTCATTTATTAAACTAAAATTCCACATTTAATGTGTAATGTAATATATATGTAAACTATTTATTAGAAAAAGTTATATATGTAATGTATTTAATACATTAAAGTCTCATTAATTTTAATAATTCAAAATTTTCATATTTTTCTTATAATTCAAACTTTTCAAATTGTTAAAATTTTATATGTAATTTTTTTTAATTAAACCCATGTAATACATGGGTCTCACACCTAGTCTTATAATAAAGATCATACAATAGATATATTTCAAGTTGAGACCATCATAGATCATATTCATTAGTTTGAAATATATATATATATATATATATATATATATATATATATATATATATATATATATATATATATATATATATCATTTTTCTTCAAAAGATAACTATTTCTACGAAATTTTAACGATTGTATATATGTTGTGATTCCATGTTTCCATTTTGTGATAAAGTGTGTTATTTTTTTATGTCTCGATTATAGCATACAATAGCAATGTACTATCCATTTGAAAAAGTTTCTATGTTTAGAATGGGTAGATACTTTGAAGTATAATGTATTAATAAAATAACATTGGGTTTTGGTAGTTTCCGGTTTGTTATAAAATATGTTATTGTCACACCATTTTCAAAGTACAATGCTATATTTGGTATACTATTAGAATAGAAAATACAAAAAACCTTATCAATTAATTTCATTTAGTATTTTATACAAACTAAATAGAATATATGAAATGAATGATTAAGTGTTATATTATGTGATTTGTCTACTTCTTTAACACTGTTTTTTCTTTTATAAAACCTTATTTAACCTTAATATTTATTTAATTTTGTAGCTTCCAAACAAAATGATGATATGTAACATATCTATCAAAGCTTCATGTCATAAGTTGCATGAAGTTTTGAGTGGCTTGAACGGACCAGTGCGAGATATTTTTTCAACAACTAGCTTCGGTTACTTGTTGGACCTACCAGCTCAGTCCGGAGACAGACTTCTTATTCATGGTTGTTACTGCATATGTTTTGTCCTACTGCTGAAATGGACGCAACTGAGCGTCTACATTTTAGGTTTTCTAGACGTACATTATCATTTGGGCTTGAGGAGTTTTGTATTGTGTTCGAACTTTACATGGGCCTGTGTCCTAGATCAAGGATCGAATTTTCAACAATGTATAAACACGGATACGGTGAAAATGCATTTCGGTCTAGAGTCTTTACATATCACACGAACACTAGTTTAGTTGTAGAAGATTTAGAGCTCCTTATCTTGAATCAACGGTTCAATGATATATCGGCTCACGACGGTCTCCGTGTCATTTCGCTATATATTCTGAATCAATGTTTTTTTCGGAAAAGAGCCCAATGATAAAGTCACCAATGAATTTTTGTGGGTGGTGGAGAACCTGGATTAATGGAATAAGTATTTGTCAATTTAATATTTTTAATAAAATACTATTTTTTATATGTTTAACTAATACTTTTTTTTTTAAATATAGGTTCTCTTGGGGAGTTATTTATGAAGTAAAACATACCCTAAATTGTCAGGTATATTTAAAAAATTTGAGGATCATATGTCCAAACATCCAACAAAACCTTATGTGTATATACTATGGGGTTTTGTTATTCCTTTGAAAGTATATTTAAGTAATTAAAAAAATATATTTATAAATTTTTCGTTCTTCATTTTTTGATAATTTTATTTATTGCTAACACTTATAAATTAATGTATATTTATTACAATATATGGATATGGGAGATGTTCCCAATAGTTCTGGGAAATGCTGCGATACAACGAAATAATTTATATCCTCATATCTTGCAGTGATTTCATATCAGGATGTTGACTTGGGAGAAAGTTTGCGATGTTTTCGATGTTGACCAGGACGATGCGCATCAACCCAAAAAGAAGACAATTGCCTCAGATGCCGAGTGCTCTACCGCACATTATTTGTTATATATTACTAGTTTGAATTGTGAATCGTCTGAAATCCCTTTTTCTGTACGCTACAACTTTAGAAAAGATGTAAGTAAAATGGTAAAAGTAGAATCTAGTATATTAGTATTTTCAGCTATTATTGATAAATCAAATAACTTATGCAGGGGACATCTTCGTCTGATCCATCCTGTGGAAAAAGCCAATCTACCCAGTCCACCGAACAAACTCATACATTGGGAATTTACAAAAGAAAAACCCAGAAAAACCCAAGAAATACTGACAAGACTTCAATCTTTGGAGGAAGAAATCCGAGGAATGAAAAATAAAGGGGGATTTCGAGAAGAGGATGATTTGGAAGAATTTTTTAACAAAACTTTTGAGGTAAAATAATTAATCTTAGAAATTTACTATCAATTTTTAACGAAGCTTTTGAGGTAAAATAATTAATTGTTAAACTTGCTTTGTTTTTTTTATTAATTATTTTTTCTTTAAATGTACGGGAATGAGAATGTGGATGGTAATTATTAGATGCCAAACTCGGTGGGCCAACAATTTGGTAGTCCACAGAAATGAAATCGAGTAAACGAGGATGATGATGTTGATAATCAACCAAAGTTTGATTGTAGAAAACAAAAACAAATCGTGAAGGAGGTTATAATTTTTTTGTATATTAAATTTTTTATTTTTTGAAAGCATATTAAAAAAATTAATATGGTTTTTGTAGAAGAAGAAGAAAAAGAAGGTTGTTACTAGCGACATTGTGGATGCGAAAAATCATATATCCGAGCCTCCTATTGCAAAACCAAGTCGTCCGATTAGGCTATTGAAACATTCTCAATATTTTAGCTTTCCATACGTTTTGGTAAGTATGTTAAAAATTATATTTACTAAAATTTTATTACTAGATATATGGATACTTATTGACCACGTATATAATGTAGGTTCAAAATGCCCCCCGATATCCTACATGTGGGGTAATACGCAACGAACCACCACCATTGTATCTATCAGCGATCCTCCGACACTTTTATTGGAGACGTATGTGATGCCGGGTTGTAGTGCCCCTTGTCTATACATGGGAAACAAACCGACTGTTTTTATGAAACATCGGTTATGCAATGAAAAAATGAAAGCAAAATTTTAGGATTTGTTTTTTTTATGCATGTGACTTGGGATTTTTAGATGAAGCGGTATAAAAACATTTCTTTATATTTAAATTTTAAATAATTTATAAGCTTCTAACATTTAAATTAAATTTAATTGCAGCATCTTAACATATGAGGAAGACTTTTGAATGAGCGGAGACCAAACGATGCACTATGGACAATCATGCCATTGTCATTTTTCGGTGCATTTGAGATGTTTCAGTGATGGGAAATCCGATTGACCAGTTGGATGGATGTAAATCTTGGCTAAAAGTTGACCGCATGAGTAATATATATATATATATATATATATATATATATATATATATATATATATATATATATATATATATATATAGGGAGAGGATCAAATGAGAACACCTAAAAGGTTGAGAATGCGAGAACAGTGGTAGACCAATCATTTTTAGAGGGCATAAATGGAATTTTACCATCTAATTAAATTATGATTTCCTAAATTTTAGTGATTATGATGACAATTACCCAAAATATCTCATTTTTTAGATCCTATTCTTTTAATGAACCAATAATTAATAAAATCATGATTTAATTTCTATCTTAAAAAACATTTTTTTTTTCATTTCATTTTTCATTTTCATGTTTCATTTTTAACAATCAAATATCAAGAGAATGAATAATTTATCGGTTTACCTCATTTATTTTTAAAAAAAAATATCTTCATAAATAATGATTTATCCATTTCATTTTAAAATGAATAAAATTGTAAATTATAAATGAATTAACTCAGATGTATTTATGAATACACTTGTAAAATCATAAATGAATAAAATCTGAAAAAAGATTATAAAATCAACTAAAATGATACTGATATATAAATAAATAAAACACATTCTATTCTTATAAGAATATAATTATAATATAAATGAATAAGTTACAATATATATTTTTTGATACGGAAACTAGTACTATAATTACAATCATTTCTTATTCTCCGTTCCCTGCATTGCTGTGGCTGCTTTCCTTGTTCCTCTTGAACCAGCCTCATGGAGTATTCATTGATGAATAACTGCAAATGAGATATCTGACATTGTATTCATATAACATTACAACTAAATACTTATTGATAGATTCATTGATGATTAACCGCAAATGGAAGATGTTAATATAACCAATGGATTGTGTATTAACTATTAACTATGAAACATAAAGGGTTTGTGACTTGTAACAAGTTACTGAGTGTAAAAGAAAAGTACATCGGTTCCAACAGTTATCAGATTAGCAAGAAGAACTGCTCATGACACCAATTGCAACTAAATATGTAAACAAGCAGCCAAACATGATGGATTGATTTCAAAGAGGTCTTCCAAGTTTCATCTTCATACAAGATCCTAATTGGAGAATGAACACAAAATTGAAGCTAATTCCCATTGAGTTCTTAGTTGTTTTAAGCTGTGATAATTACACCAAATTTGATACTCACATAGTTTCAAAATTTACAGAAAACAAAACCAACACTACGATTTTTGGAGATAAACTTAGCGTTTTTTAATCAGGTACAACCATGTTTATAATCATGAGTGATTATAAAGAACACAACTGAGGATGACCCGTCCGCCATCATCAAAATTGATTAAAAATAGGATGAAATTGACTGATTAAAGCACATTGGAAGGTAGATAATTGGTTTATCAGAAAGTATGAACAAATTGGCAGTAACAAAAAAACTCAATCAATAGAGCATACCCTCTTCTTTAAACACGGCTCATGAGATCGAAAAAATCACCAGATAACTCAAAAAATCACAGATCATCGCAGACTTAAGGTTGTTGTGTCAGTTTTGTCAACGATTACTAAAGCCATTGTGGCCACCAGAGACTTGAGGTTGATGTGTAGGTTTCAGTCAGATTGTTGCCTTGCTGGAGGCGATACCCAACTATCCTTCCTCGTCAATTTCATTCACCTGCTTTCGACAGAGGAGGTCTAACAACCGATAACCCTATAATGTTGAAAGGTTTGGTACTCATGAATGGAGGAGACATTGGATTATAGAGATGGTTGGATATAGAAGCGTAATCAGGGTTTTATCGTGCGAGATGGTGGCTATCATCGGCGATCATGGTGGCGAAGGCAGAGGTGATGCTTGTTCATTCTCCGACTGTGAAATTGGTTCGTGGATGGCGGCGACACAAAATAATGGAGTGAATGATAAAATCGGAGGTTTAGGTATACAGAGAGAGAGAGAGAGAGAGAGAGAGATTTTAGGAGTTGTTTAAAATAAGGGAATGATTAATTACCTTGATACCCTTTTCTTAATTTTAATTCAAATTAATTGATTTTAAACATTTTAATAATAACAAAATCTCTAATTAATTATAGCCTTAGATCTAAGATAATAGATGGATGGTATCTGTTCTCACGTTCTCAACCTTTTAGGTGTTCTCATTTGATCCTACTCCTATATATATATGTATATATATATATATATATATATATATATATATATATATATATATATATATATATGAGTAAATTAAATTGTAATATTACACTAATTATACACTCTAATTAATTGCAAGGGTTTTGTGTTAAAACAGGTTTATTTTCCAATACGCATCAACCCACATCATTGGGTTCTTGGCGAGTTATGGATGGACACGTTCTCGTTGAATTTGTAAGACAACTTCCGATCTTTTGGCGTCGTGAAGCTTATTGATTTTGTGCGGTTTAAAGAGCTTATTGACCACATTCTATTGGACATTGGTTATTGGAACACATGGATTTTCTTATTCAGAAAGCATACATTATTGTTACGGATGTTATGGATGTGCCCCAACAAGAAGGGATGTTTGGAGAATGTGGTGTATTTATGTTGATGTACATGGAGTAGCTTGTTTCAGGTCAACTGATTGGTATATCGACGACACTTATTATTGCTGCAACATAGTTTCGTAGTAGGATGGGCATGATATATTATGGATCTTCTAGAAAAGCGATTTTAAATTAGTTTGATTAGTAGGTTTTTAGTGACATTTAATGTGCAATATTTCATCACGATTGTTAAGGTTCTATTTTAGTTTATGTTAACAAAATTTCCCCTAATAATTAAACATTCAACATTATTATATAACAAACTAACAAGATAATAGTACATATTGCATAGATTAATCATAACAAACAAGCAAATAAAGATATAAAACATATTACATAGATAATCTCATAAATAAAATACGTAAACTTACTAGTTGACTAATAAAAAATATTAAATTTAATGATTTGAAAAATCAATTGGATATTTTGTTTTTTCTTGAAGTACCTACTCGGTAATTTTTTTGTATGTTTTTTTGGAACGCTTTCCATTTTAACCTCTTCTTTGTTGGTGTAATCTATTGCATCTCGTACCCAAACCCTTGTAGTTTTTATGTCGCGTTCTTTGTCTTGAACCGACCTCATATTAGACAAAATATTCGCTTGTAAGTCATCCAATCGTTTCCGATCTTCTTCGGTGCTTTTAATCTCACTCTTGATATCTTCTTCTTTTATTAATAGTTGCAAGCGCTTCCATTGTGGCATTAACTACCATTTTTCTTGAGAGGTAGACATATTTGTATGTGTATTATGGTTATAGAATAACGAGTAGCATACAATTTGTAATGTTTTAATAATGTGCCCATTTTTTAAACTAATTTTTAGGTAATGTATTTCTATGTATATCTTTTATTAGTAATTTTAAGGTAATAGATCTCTGGTCTCTATGTATGTTTTTTTTATTAGTGGTTGGATTGTTGAATTAATTTATATTAGTAGCACTGTCGTATAGTATTGTGAGGCTTTATCCATAGGATGTAGTATTTTTATTTATTTTGAAAAGTAGTTGATTTGTTTGGAACAGTAAAGTATATATCTTTCATGTGTTTTTTTGTAAGATTTCACAGAATAGCATGTACTATATGAGACCTAATAGATTCCATACTTGTCTATATAAAAATTCAGTAATATGACATTAGTTTGTATCATAAAAGATGGAGCCTTTTGTACCTCTAACATGGAACACCCAAGAAGAAGGAATTTTAATACGTGCTTGGATTACCATCATAGAAGAAGCTTATTCACATGGTCCCCCAGAATGTCATATGGGATCTTTTTAGATTCACGTTTTTACTTGTTTCATTATGAGATGGGTCGAGGTTATTACCGCACAAAAAAAGATGTAAAATTAAAAATGTTACAAGTGAAACGACATGTGAAGCACTTTCATAGAATTAATAGCGAGATCAAACATGCACGTCCGGATGAGGATGGACAAAGAATTTTACTGGTGGCTATGGAGTTATTTCGTTTGGAATCTAATGGTAGAGAGTTTGTCCATGTTGATTCTTGGAATGTTATGAAGAATCTACCTTATTTTTAATTATTTTCTAATCTCGGATGAAGTTTGTTTTGTAGCTTAAAATGTATGGCAAGGAGCTTATCTATGTTATAACTTCTTTCCGTAAGTCTAATTTCTATTTGATGTAATCAATTTTTGATATTTCAGAATTCATGTTTGTTTTATCAGTTACTCAACGCAATGTTCCTGTATGCCATTTTTGACTTTTTTATTTGTAAATAACATATGTTCTATAGTCAAACGAAAAAAAATTACAACCCGTACAAAATAATATGAAAAGGACAGTACAACAAATTTCTATAGATGGAAACATAAACCATTACAAAATAAAATCATACATTACATTTTACATAGAGTAGCCGATAAGTGCTATAAAAAGTTAGTTGATGAGCATTTAGCTTACAACTTGTAGACAACAACACCAAAAAAGAAAATCCAACTACAAAGTAACGCTATATTCAAGTGCAGTATTTTTCTTTGTAGCTTCTTCTTTGAACGAGCTAAGTTAGAATTTATCAACGAATTATTGTCTTTTGCTTCATCCACCCAACAATTAAACCCAAACTGTGGTGGATGATAGATAAATATAAAAACATTATGTATATTATGTAAATATTCAATAATAAATTATAATATAAATAATTAGAGGATAACCCAAATACCTCTTTAGGACAAGCGTAAAATAACTGTCCAGGATTGTTGGTAGTTCTTGAGGTCCTTATAATACCTTGAGTCCCACAGTTGCAAATTGTCATTTCTTTGGTTTATGAGAAGTAAATTTTTATTAGTGTAGATAGGTAAATATCTTCAATTATATACTACCCTTAGACTACTATTTTATAGGTACTGACTACTGTCTACTAGCGTTTGACTACTACTTTAAGTGTTGTCTATCGTACAGTGAATTTCGGACACATGACTGTAATTTCATTACTGTGTTATAGGCATTGACTACTGTCTACTGGAATTTGACTACTACTTTAAGTGTTGCCTTCTCGTACAGTGAATTTCAGACACATGATTGTAATTGGACTACTGTGTACAGGCATTGACTAATGTCTACTAGCATTTGACTGCTACTTTAGGTGTTGTCTTATCGTACAGTGAATTTCGGACACATGATTGTAATTTGACTATTGTATTACAGGAATTGATTACTGTCTACTAGCATTTGACTACCACTTTAAGTGTTGTCTTATCGTACAGTGAACTTAGGACACATGATTGTAATTTGACTACTATGTTATATGCATTGACTACTATCTACTAGTATTTGACTACTACTTTAAGTGTTGTCTTATCGTACAGTGAATTTCAGACTTGTTTACGAGGATGTAACAACCATGGTTAACCATGATTGCTTTGAAGGTGATGATTGGACCCACATAACAGCTATGTTTAACCTCTCGTTCGGAGAAGGAAAACACTGAACACAAGCATATATTGTTGGTAAGTGGATGAATTTAAAGGAAAAAATCACATGGTTTAATCGATGGTATCATCATCTTAAAAATAGTTATCGTTATCCAAACAATGACGAAGATCTTTTAGAAATTGTTAAAGATCATTACATTTTGGAGCATGAGGGAAGTGACTTTGAGTATGAGGATGCTTGGATTCTAGTTAAAAATAACAAATATTTCATGTAGAAGGCTCTTATATGTGAAATGTCTTATGTAATGTTTGCTACTGGTGTATTTCGTTTTCTATAATGTTTTATGTTTATGTTTTATTTTTCATGGAATAAAGTAGATAATAAGTGGGGTACTAGATTTAATTAATAATGTCATAAATGTAGTTTAATACAAACAATACAAATTTACAAATACGAGTATTCATTACTTTCCTAAATTAATCTAAGGACAATTTAAATCAAATTTACTGTCAAAATCAAAAGTACGGTACACACTTTCGTTCTGTAACTTGCTTCTAGATGCCAATTCATCAACCATTATGCCCTTTTCTGTCGATTTTTTCCTCACCCCAGATCTGCTCCCCGATCCCCTACCCGTACAATCATTCCTTGTGTGTCCGTATTGACCGCATGTAGAACATTCTTGTCGTATGGGACGCTCACCTTGCGACTGAATACGATCAGTGTTTCTAGGCCTACCCGACTGACGTCTCTCCATTATGGGTGGCTTCACAATCATCAAATCATCGGGGATCTCCCACTCAGATGGACTTGGTAAGCGGTTCACAGACTCATAAGTTTTCCTCAGTGTCTCTGTAAAGTAAGCTTTTAAAGCAAATTCTGAATAGTCATGATATCTTGAATTCTTCATCTCTTCGCCAGGTGCATGATGTGGAACCAAAGGAGTTCTCTCTTGGAACATAGTGATGAACTCCACCACAATCTCCCTGATCTGGCGAAGGTCCTGAAACTCTGTCACCAGCTGTTGCACCTCAATAGGTAGTGTAAGCTCCTCCTGTAACCTCCTAACAAACTCCTCCCAATTCATGGCCACCACATCCGCAGATCCCAATGCACTACCAACCTCCTCCTGCCAATCGTAGGCTCAATCCCTCAGAAGGCATGATGCAAATCCCAACTTCGCTCTCTTAGGGTAGAAGCTCGTTAGCTGAGCATTCTCCATGCTAGAGATCCATTAGTGGCTTGTAATAGGGTTCTTAGCTCAAAAATTTTTTTAAGCTCCACATGCCTTGAACTCCTAAAAAGAAGGAGTCCATGCTCCAAACTGTCCTGCCACGATCTCAGCCCAGAAGGCACCGAGTCGCTCATCTAAAACTTCCCTAATCCCCCCCTTGATGGTACCGAAGATCATAGGGGTGGCCTCCATAATATCACAGGTAATCGCTGATGTGATAAACTCACGTAACCGCTCATCAATCGATTCAACATCAGAGCAAGAATCAGAAAAAGAAGCTCCTCCTCGAGTGGTCACCATACCGAAACAAAAATATAGAAATGATCAGAATAAAATTAAAGGAACTGGCACTTTAAAGGCTCCTCAGAATCCCCGAGACCGTCCTTGATTCAAGTATATTAACTGTGCTTTCAATAGTACGGACCCAATACTACCTTCCACACTTATCCATATTTTCCTCAAGAACTGTCCCAAGTCCTCTAATTCACACCCACTAAATCTATACACACAAATCCTATACTAAGCAACATACAACTCCTACTTTGGCCTTTCCTAGGCTCTCTTGTAAATTCTTAATTCTCTTGTCTATGCTATACTAAGAACCTCAACCAACACTGATGGATGCCTTATGCATCCAAATTGTACACCAAATGGGACCACATAGACTGTCAAATAATGATTCTACCGTAAACCCACAAGCAAACAAGAAAAAAGAAA